TCTTAATCTAAAATTTCCCCAACAGTCCTGTGTTTTGAATACTCAGTTACCAGTGTGTGGTGCTATTTTGAGGGCCATAGAGCCCTTAGGATGTGGGGTTTGGCTCCCAGGAATAGGTCTCTAAAGGCCTGTCTTTGAGGGCTATATCAACTCTGGGTTCTGGTGTGTAGCTTTCTCTGCTTCCTGGTCTGCCGTGATGTGTAGAGTCATTGCCTCATGTTTTCACTAATGGAGCGGCTCTGTCACCATGCCTTCCTTATGTGATAACCTGAAACATAAATCAGAATAAATGTTACCTCACTTAAATCTTTTCTGTCAGATATTTGGTCACAGTAATGCAAAGTAGCTAACATACTGAGTCTGCATCTAACTAATACCAACCAGTGCCCCCAGGACATCAGGGAAACTAGGGAGTCTATAGAGAAGTAACAGCACTAGCCCTCTTTTGAATAGGTCAGCTTGTTACCTATGGGAGATTGAAGTGGAGATGCCCAGGAGCCATTTGGTCAATGGGTCATGTCTGGGGTTCTTGTGTGTTGTGGGATAAGCTTTTTGTACACTGTAAAGGTGTGTCTCTGTCTAAGGTGCCCTCTGATTGGTTTGATAAAGAGCTCAATGGCCAATAGCTAGGCAGGTGAGAATAAGTGAGACTTTCAGGGAAAGAGAGGACTCTGGGGATGCCAATGAGACACAAAACAAGTCAGACATACAGAGTGGGAGAGAGTAAAAGCCACATGGCAGAACATAGATGAATAGAAACAGGCTAATTTGAGTTATATGAGGTAGATAGGATAAGCCAAGCTTTCATATTTAATAACAAGGCTCTGTGTCATTATTTGGGGGCTGGCAGCCAACAAGAAAGTCCTACAACACATGATGTTCAATATCTGGCCATGTATATCCACATAAGGCCTGAGAAAGCTGAAAAGAAAGAAGTTGTGAACACGGAGTCAGATGAGGCTTCTTGATGACATTGGTCTCTTGGGTAGGCCCTATGCTCTCAACGTATAGAGGTGCAGCTCTTTTAAGAGGCCCTGCTGTGCATCTGAGCACTTGAGTATCCCGCACTGGGTACAAATACCTGTTACAGGTGGACACAACAAATTCCTAGAGCTGGGGCAGGTAGATGCAGCTCCAGGCTGGTACCTGCCCAGCATGAGGCTAGGCTTTCATGAAAACAATGGGGCAGAGCCCAGTGCCACTCGTGGTGGTAGCCTGGCAGTTTAAGCTTTGGCTCATGCAGAGATTGCTGTAGGTGCTTAGTAAAGCCAGTCCAAACCAAAAAACAAACAAACAAACAAACAAACAAAAAACAAAACAAAATAAAAACTCTAAAATAGGTACAAAATGTTTAAAAATGTGCCTAGATGCTAAAGAAAGAAAAAATGGGTATAGACATAGAAAAATAGTTTAAAAATAATAAAGTTTTTAAAAAAGAGTAAAGTAATATAAAGAGAATAAACCAAATAAAGATGGGAAATACACAGGGTGTCTGAATCCTATATAGTGTTTTATTGACTTTAAATTTTTTGAATGCTGATGAGTGAAGGGCAAATGCTGCTGAGAGACATTGGACTGTAGAAAAAAACTGCTAAATCAAACCATCATATATATTTTAAGAATGTCTTAACTTCAGAGTGGAAGTCAGTAAATACGTTATGTTGGGGAAAAGGTTTTTGTTTTCTTTTTTCCTAAGGAGATTAGATTAGGGATCTCATTCTGAAAAGAAAAAAAAAGGGGGGTGGAATATAGGAATAATATGAAAAGGGTAGATTATTGAATCTACTTTTAAACTAAAACACAACTACTAGTCTTAAATATTTTACATTGGTGTGATTTTTATATATTGATACAAATTTAAGGCTATTTTTGTTATACTGCATATATGTTTCTACTCTTGTTTAAGGTATTGTACCTATGCAGCTCATTTAACAATATAATGTAAATTACTAGTCCTTGAAAGCTATTATTATTAAATAATTAGGATAATTAAGAAATGCAGTTTAGTAGTTAGTCATCTATAACAATCAAACTTGTAGTCATGTTAGGTATATTTTCAAGGTTAAACAGATATATTTTAGATAGATAGTATGGTCTTCAAACACTTCAGAGATCTACAGAATATGGCATTTAAGATGTTTTAATAACATAAGGCTTTTCATGACAATAAGATACATCTGCACCTGACAGCACCAATTTACTTCAAAAAAGGGTGATGGGCATCAAAGAACCTCCATATGTGTTGTGGAATATTAATTAAATATTAATTGAAGATGTGTTACATTTGTTTTTGCTGTGGAGGAACATTTGTTTAGTGATACAAGGATATGTTGTGTTCTTTTTTGTTCCAGTAGTTTAACTCTGTGTGTTACTTTGTCTGCCTAAAACATCTGATTGGTCTAATAAAGAGCTGAATGGCCAATAGCCAGGCAGGAGAAAGGGTAGGCAGGGCTGGCAGGCAGAGAAAAGAAATCTGGGAAGAAAAGCTCAGACATGAGAAAAGACAGAGAGGAAGATATCAGGCCAGACACTGAGCTACACAGCAAGCTGTGGAATAAGAAGTAAACAAAGGTATATAGAAAGAGAAAGATAAAAGTCCAGAGGAAAAGATAGATGGGATAATTGAAGAAAGGCTGGCTAGAAATAAACCAAGCTAAGGTTGAGAATTTATAAGTAAGAATAAGCCTCTGTATGTGATTGTTTGGAAGCTGAGTAGCAGCAACCCCCTCCCGCCCCCAAGAGTAAAGAGTGAATAAAAACCAACTACACATATGGAGTTTTCTTTTAATGTAGTAAAGCTAGTCATTTGGGCAAGAAACTGCCCTTGCCTTGACTGCTGACTGTATGCTTTCCAAATTGGATAAGCAGGACACAAAAGAAAGTGACTGTCAAACTTTGCCAAGACAAGGTAGGACAGTCCTTCAAAATCCCAGCTTCACAAAACATCTGTCAGATATTCTAGGTCTGTAGGCCAAAGATGGATGCCCCAATGTTGCAGAGGAACCTTGGGTGACTGTCTAGGCAGCCAGCTGTTTTTGTCATTTCTGTAGTTTTGGAAGTTGCTTGCTCTGTACTTCCTTTTTACTCAGGTAATAATATATCCTTGGATCTCTGATGGGGTTGAAGACTAGATAGTTATAGTTACAGTTTTCCTTAGTTATGATAGAAGTAAATTAGATATAAAACTTTGAACACACCAAGATAGGATAGCTAATACAAATTTGGATTGCCAAATACAAATGGACTGGGCATTGTGAATGTAATTCTTACCTGACAACTATTTTTATTGTATATACTTTTACTGTGTTAGAGTTAAAGCCTTTCCTTTTTAATTAGATGAAAAGGGGAAAATGTTGTGGAGTAAACTTTTTGTACACTGTAAAGATATGTCTCTGTCTAAGGTGCCTTCTGATTGGTTTAGTAGAGAACTGAATGGCCAGTAGCTAGGCAGGGGAGAGTCACTTCTTATATGACCCTATATTTCACCATTATGACACCACAGTAACTCAGACTAAATCCTTGATGGCAGGTAGAATAATGGCCCTCACAGATGTCCAACCTGGTCCCTAAAAGCTAGGGATAGGAACTAGATAGATACAGATTCTAAGATGGTTGATTGGGGTGGGCTCAAAATGGATCAAAGTCCTGATAAGAAAACAGGGAGGTAGGAGAGTGCTGTGGGATGGTCTATATGTCAAATTACTCTGATTGGTCAAAAAATAAAACACTGATTGGCCAGTGGCTAGGCAGGAAGTATAGGCGGGACTAACAGAGAGGAGAAAAGAAAAGAACAGGAAGGCAGAAGGAGTCACTGCCAGCCGCCGCCATGACAAGCAGCATGTGAAGATGCCAGTAGGCCACCAGCCACGTGGCAAGGTATAGATTTATGGAAATGGGTTAATTTAAGCTATAAGAACAGTTAGCAAGAAGCCTGCCACAGCCATACAGTTTGTAAGCAATATAAGTCTCTGTTTACTTGGTTGGGTCTGAGCGGCTGTGGGACTGGCGGGTGACAAAGATTTGTCCTGACTGTGGGTAAGGCAGGAAAACTCTACCTACAGGAGAGTCAGACTCCAAGAAGGACATATAACAGAAAAAATAGTGCTGGGTGATGTGGGACCTTGAGGTAAAGGGTGGGAAGCCAGACAAAGCCCCAGAACACATTCTCCCTCAGAGCTTCTGGGAAAACCCCAGCCTGCTTGCCTTCAGCCCAGTGAGAAACATTTTGGACTGCTGATATCTGAAACTACATGATACATTTTTGACTTGTTTTAAGCCACACGGTTATTTGTTGTGGTGGTAACAGGAAACTCACATCCCTTGGGGATTTGGCTCATTTCTCTTTAACACCCAAAACAATTACTGGCCTGTATTATGTGCTGAATAATATGTGATAAGCTGCTTTTTTTTTTTGAAAGATTACACTATTTTCCACACAGCAGTCTGTTTTCCTCATTCCCACTCCCAAAGCTAGTCTCTGAGTTTTTTTTACTCAGAAGAGATATGGTAAGAGTAAGTGTTAATGTAGTCTCTCTTTGGAGATTTTAGACACTTTGGGGTATAATTATTTGCCATGTAACTATGTTTGGGCCAATGAAAGATCACATATATATGACACAGATTTTCTAAGTTTTTAATGAGGCTAAAAACTTCCTGTTGCCTAATGATGTCATAGACATTGTAATGTCACAGCAAAGTACATTGCTTTTGTATTCTTGATAATGTTGGTGTGAACGGAGCTACTATGCTTCAAACTGTATAAAAACTACTATGTACAACTGTGTACAGTACTTAGTACTTGATAATGATCATAAAATGACAGTGTTGATGGGTTATGTAACTTACTATGCTTTATAATTAAGCTATTTTATAACATATTCCTTATGCTTATAAACTGATATTGAATAAAACAGTATGCTGTGTTTTGCCAGCAGGACTTCTATATTATGTTCACCACATCTCATGAGGATCAAGAAGTCATATTGAGTGATTGACTGCACTGTTTATGTAAGGATGCTGTCTAGGACATTCCCTAGTCACCAAGTTGCCTAGCATGGTTCTCAACAAGTATCTGTGATCTCAAGCAATGGGTGACTGTACTTCTTTGCACTGAATGGAAAACAGAGGAAATGCCTCTTTTAAACCACCAAGATTTCAACAGAAAGATTTCTCCTGAAGACCTGAAGAAGACTCCTTCAGGCAGATGGAGATGGGAAGAGAAAAATGGAGCTCAGAAAAGAAAATGTCATGACTCAGAAGCAGGAAGTGGACAAAGGGCTGTGTGATGTCTTAGGAAGTCAATGACATGTGACAAGAAAGTGGAAGGGGAACTATGGGTGTATGGAAGGGACCAAGTGGAGGTAAGGGGCATGAGGAGGTGAGTAGTTGGTTGTTTTACTCTTGGGGGGCCTGATACCCACCTCCCAAATAAATCACACTTGGAAAGCTTATTCTTACTTATGAATGCCCGACCTTACCTTGGCTTATTTCTCGCCAGCTTTTTTTTTTTTTTAAAAAAACTTCAATTATCTCATCTACCTTTTACCTCTGGGCTTTTTCCTTTTCTTACCTCTGTAATCTTATTTTCATTCCTACTCCATGGCTGGCTGGGTGGCTGTGTGGTTGACCCATTCTTTTTTTGCTCCTTGATCTCACTTGCTTTCCAAACCCTCTTTTTCTCCATTTATTCTCTCTGCCTGCCAGCCCTGCCTATTCTTTCTTCTGCCTTGCTATTGGCTGTTCAGCTCTTTATTAGACCATCAGGTGTTTTAGACAGGCACAGTAACACAGCTTCACAGAGTTAAACAAATGCAACATTAAAAAAAATGCAGCACATCTTTGCATCATTAAATGAATGTTCCACAGCATAAACAAATGTAGCACATCCTAAAATAATATTCTATAACAGAGGTGACTCGACAAAAACAAGTACTATTTGAAAATGCCATAATGAAAGCTAATGCTGTGTTGTCTGCCCATTTTCCTGAAAATTTCACAATTTCATTTTTCTTTATAAGGGAATAAAAATTCCATGGTATATATGTACTATGTTTTCATTATCTCTTGATGGGCATCTAGACTGACTCATCCTATTGTGCTTAGAACAACAATAAACATGGATAGGAAAGTGCCAGTTCTTTGAGTATATGCTCAGGGCTGAAACAGTTGGATCATATGGAAGGTCAGCTTTTTATTGTGAGAACTCTTTGTACTGATTTCCATAGTGGCTGTACTAGTTTACACTCCCCGTAGGCAATGATTAAGGTATGTGCCTCCATGCCCATCTTTGCCAGCATTTCTGGTCTCTTTTGGTGATGATAACTACTCTAACGAGGGTGAGATGGAAACGCAAAGCGGTTCTAATTTGCGTTTCCAAAATGGCTAAGGACACTTTAAATAATGCTTACTCGTCATTTGTGTTTCTTCTTTTAAGAATTGTTCGTTCATTAGCCCATGTGTTGATTGGCAGTTTTTGTTTTCCTGTGTTTTATTTTTACGGTTCTTTATATATTCTAGATAGGAGCCCTGTCAAAGTTTCCACACCACTCTGGAGGCGGTCTGTCTGCTCGGTTGCTTGCTGCCTCGCTGTAAAACTTTTATGCCGTCCAGTGTTTGTTATGAAATTCATGGTTGATTACTCTCTTTCCTAATATGGGTGTGTCCCTCTTTATCTCTTCTGACTGATTTTGACTTGAGGTCTAGCTTATCGAGTGTAAGGATTGCTATGTCTCTTTATTTAAGGTCTGTTTCCTCGCAGTTAATATCTGCTCTTTGACATGCAGATTTGGGGCATCTTTACTAGTTAAGTGTGTTTCTCTGAGACAAGTGTATTTCCTGCCTTTTTTTGTGTGTGTGTTTAAATTTCTGTTTTATGCGTGAGTGTTTTACCTCACTGTATGTGTGTGTACCATGTGTGTATCTGGGCCTGGGTCTGCAAAGGACAGCATTAGAACTGGAGTCACAGATGGTTGTGAACTGTCATGTGGATGCCAGGAACTGAACCTAGGTCCTCTGCAAGCACAGGAAAGGCTCTTAACTGTTGAGCCTGTGTTGCAGCCTTGTTCTTGGGTTGGTTGGTTTGTGTTTTGTTCTAACTCAGTGAGATAGTCTGTGTCTTTAATAGTGACGTGAGTGCATTTTACCGTTAAGGTCACTATTGAAAGAGACTGTCTCCTATGGCCTTGTCAGGAGATTGCTGGATTGATGCTGCTGCCTTTCCCCACCCCCTATTTGTTTGGGGTCTTTTCAGGTTTGCTATGTTGGATATCATTGATTCTTTCCCAGCTCATCTTTCTTTATCTGTTCCTTTCTGAATACACTGTGGAGTGTGTTCTTTCAAATGTTCACTTAGGTACATTCTTTTCTTCTTTCTCCCTTGATAATATTCCCTTAAAAATTTTCTGGATTGGTTATCATAAATTGCTGAAATTTGGGTTTATCTTTAAATAATCCTTATTTCTTCATCAACCCTGAAAGATAGCTTTGCTGGGTATAGCTATTTTAGTTGGAAGTAATTTACTTTCAGGGCTTCAAATACATAATTCCATGATTTTTCTGGCATTAAACATTGCTGATGGAAGCTCTTAAGTTAATCTGATAGTCCTGTCTCTTTGTGTGAGTTGGCATTTTTTCCTTCACAGATTTTAATTTTTTAAATTTATGTTTTGTTTTTCACATTTATGATGTCTCATGAAGATATTCTTCTTTGGTAATGTTTAAGATTCTAAATGTTTGTGTTTGAATGTCAACCTATTTCTCTAGGTTTGGGAAATTTTCTGTTATGATTTCATTAAGTAATTTGGCTATTCCTCTTGGTTTTTATCTCAGCTCCTTCTACCCAAATGAATTCCAAAGTGTTGATCTTGAATGTATCCTAGGCTTCTCGGAAGTATTGATGATATTCACATTTTGTATATATCTGACTATATTATTGTCTTGACTTGGTCCTCCATTTCTGAAATTGGTTCTCCTGCATGGCTTCCTCTGTTGGTGATGCTTTCTGGTATAGTTTTATTCTATTGATGATTTCTTTCATCTACAGAATTTCTGTTTTGTTATTTTTCAGTGTTTCTACTTCCTTGCATAATTTCTCTTTTTTTTGGGGGGGGGTGTTTCCTCTTCCCTTTTACAATTGCTCCATTCACTTGGGAAATTGTCTAGCTGAGGTTTTGAATGTATTTTCTTTGTTTATATGCTTATTTAGTCATTAATTCTCTTTAAAAGCAGTATTCTGAATTCTTCCTTGGACATTTCAGCTATTTTCTGTGGCTTTGGTTTCCATCTTAGGGGAGTTAGGGTGCTATAGAGATGGTAGATTCCCATCATCTTTGTGTTTTTGTTATTTTCTACAAAAATCTGTTGGGATAAGGATGAATGGGTCTTCCGGACTTAACTGCCTGTTTTTCTACCTCTGATTGGCTATTTGTCCTGTTTTCTGTTGGTCTTTCCAGAGCGATGTCTTCATTGGGAAATTTGCTTCTCCCCAGCTATTAAGGGGAGAAGATGAAACGATGCTTCCCACTTCTTCATAGCAGCCCATGTTTCCCCTAGTTGTAGGAGGCCCTTTGTCTCCCTGTGTCCTGTTATGGTTTAGAGCCTGGCATTGGGACACTGGTTGGAGAAGGTGTGGTTTATATATTCTTCAGAGCAAATGGTGTCAGCAGTTAAGTAGAGAAACAAAGAAGGAACAGGGAAAGGAGGGAAGAGTGGTCCCGTGTGGGCGAGAAGGAAGGGCTAAAGGCTGGAGGTGGGAGAGGTAGGAAGATAACTACAGATGTGGAAGAGAAGGTCTTCATAGGTGTAGAAAGCTGGAGGGCAGTCATGGAGGTCTATTCTTTTGAGATAGAGATTAAAGCACTGTGTCTTAACCATAAATGCACAAAATCGTAAGTAGTTATAAAAAAAAGAAAGAAAAACTAAACTACTAAAACATTAGACAAAAAGACTAAACATTTGAAAATACATAGAATAAAAATATACATGCAAACCCATCCAACCAACAAACAAAAAGGGTTGGTAACCTGCCAAACAATATATCAGTTTAATTTTTTTTTTTTTTACCTTAGTGGGATGTCGAGGTTCCTCTTTCGCCAGGGTTGTTATTTGTATTAGTTTTAACAGGAGGGGGAGAGATTGCCATTCAGCCAGGTTAAGCCTGCAGGTCATTTGAAATTAGGATTTTGCATGCTTAAACCTTCTGCAGGAGTTTCCTGGCTGGACTCCCTGCCCTCTTGGCCACATGCAGACCAGCTCCCTGTGAGTGAGGGACTGAACCTTCCGGAGGCAACTCTTGCTGTGGTCCACATTTTAAATGGATGCAAAATCCTGCGCATCTGAGAGCCTTCTTGTGCTGGTGGGGAGCTGGATTCTACCCTACTGTGCTCCCTTTCAGCAACCCAGGGATGGTGGGGACGGGGTTGCTATCTCTAGCTGGAAAGCTAGTGTTAGGTATTCGCAGCCTTAATTCTGGAGTCACTACTCATGCGCTTGTTCTGGTGTTTTCAGTAGTAAAGGGTTCCCTCTGAGACCGCAGGAGTAGCACCTGTGTGAAGTTCGGTCCCAGAGTTTCGTGGCCAAGGGGTGGCTGAGGTGATGCCTCCTGGGCTCAGGATGGCTGCTGCTACGAAGACATGGACAGTGTATCTGGGGTGCTGGTGTGTGAGTCTGTCACCTTGGCTAAGGCTGGTTGTCCCCAGGATAGGGGTTCCTTAAAGGAAGAACTTTCTTAGGTGTGGCTTTGTGGCCCATTCGCTATGAGAGATACATCCAAGGTTGCTCCGGAGAGCTCTTAAGCCCGCTGGCAATGTCCCAGGTGGCGGAAGCGATGGGTGCCAAGTTACACGACAGAGGACGGTCACTGACACAAGTGTTTTGTCGGTGAGGGTGGTCATGGTGAAGCAGCTTGGCCGGGCAGTACAGTGATCCCCGGCCCTCTGTTAGGCTCAGTGTAATCCACTCCCTCACATTTGGTTTCTAACCATCATTTTATCTGCAAATCCTGATTTTTGATAAAAATTATTAAAATTCATATATACAGACTATTATGGTTTGAGGTCCTGCCTCTGCTTTACTCTGTGTGACGGTGTGTGTGGGTTTGTAAGGTTTTTATTAGTAGTGTGTGTGTGTGTGTGTGTGTGTGTGTGTGTGTGTGTGTGCAGGTCAGAGGTCAACTTTACAGGATCTGTTCTCTCCTTCCACCTCTGCAGAGGTCAAACTCGGGTCATCAGGTCTGCATCAGTGGGCTGCAAGCTCCTTCACCCTCTGGGCCATCTCTCAGGTCTACAGTTCGGTTTTCTTTTTTTCAAACTTTTTATCCCCTGGACTTGAACTACTACTCTTTGCTGTAGTAACTGGTGCTCAC